GGACCGGCCGGGGCTGGGGCATAGTACGACTTTGCGGTGGCGTAACTTTACGGGATTGTTATCGATTTTTATCAACCCGGGATGGATTCCGACTCCCCTGGCGCGCTCTTTCGAACGCGCGCGGTCTCGAGGTCCGACTCGACGATCTGCAAATTTCGACCCACGTGGAGGTCAATTTGCCTTCAACATGACCCTCAACTTGGGGTGCTTGCCGATAAGACCGGTGGCCTCCTGGCGACGCCTGCCCGTTTGTACCCGAGAGCCACGCCCCCAGGGCGTCCTTTGGGGGGTTGACAAACCGCGGTCTCTCGCCCGGCGCCTGCGTGGGGTCGTCGGAGTATGCTGACTGCAACTTGCCGTGTCTTTCGCAGGCCACAGCGTCCCAAGGACGACGCCGTTGTAAATTGTCAAGGTCACAATCGACGCCTTCTAGGGCCCTTGCGATTTCCTCGGTACCACGTGCATCCCAAACGGCGCCAATCACTATTGGCCAGGGTCCCCGGAGGCCTCCCCGGCTTATCGCGGTGCTTGCTTGTAATGTTAACAGGCTCCGACTACTAGTAGCGGCCCCAGAGGAGCCAGGATACGCCTAGGATACCCGTAACGCAGTCTCACTCTGATCTGGGCTATGTTCCCGCTTTCGCGCTGTGAGCCACCGCGCTACACCCGGGCCTCTTCCGGAGCCCTCGGCCGGTACCTCGGCGCGGCACGGAACTACGGCTTCGGCGCCATCCGCGTTCAAGTCGGACGTCACGTCCGAATCGTGTCGAGCCACCAGCCAGGATACGCCTAGGATACCCGTAACGCAGTCTCACTCTGATCTGGGCCCCTGAGGGGCCGGTTCGGAACCTGGCGCCCGGCGTCCGGCGGACGCGGCGGCACAGGACGCCAAGGACACTTCCCCCCAACGGCCTCTCCAGCCCCGTCAACGGCCTCCCAACGGATAGGCCCCAGGGGCAAGTCCGGCCTGGAGCGGGGTCGGACTGCGACTACGAGGAGGGCCAGCTCCAGGCTCAGGCTGGCGAAAGAGCCTCCAGATGGCCGACGTGATGTTTTCAACCCAGGAGTCGGAGGCGCGGACCGAGTCCCACCAGGTCCACCGGGTCCTGGTGGGCGGCCGACCCAGTCAACTAGGCTGATCCGGGCATTGGAAGGTTTGCAGCCGCCTGATTCCCTGACATTTATCCACTCCCCCCCCAAAAAAGAAGATTTTCCTGGGGCGCGCTCAGGCGCACAATAATAGAAGAGGATGTCAGCGACAGACGATGACTCGTACTCGAGACGAGATATATCTTCTGTCTCTCTCCTCTGTATCCTGAATATCCTGGCTGATATATCCTAGCGGCTGTATCACCTGCACATATCGGTCTACTGCCAGCTAGTTCGAAAACCTACGAGCTTCATATTCTCCGGCCGCTAGCTACTTCCAAAGCGCACAACATGAGACGAATTGGCCAGGTGACAACCGACCGGAGGTGACAACAACCGACCATAGTCGGCAACTCACAGTGGGTATGGTCGGTAACCAACTGCAACCAGTCTTCCTTCGTCGATATGAGGGTCCTGCGATCGTCCAGAATGGCCAAATAATATCGTTTCGATGATCATATGAAGTTCGACAATCCTCACGTAAGAACCTCAATCAAACTAGAATTCGTGAAACGCAATCAACCTTCAGACCGAAGATCATCCGATTTCATTGCACTGAATCGAAAGGAATTATGCCTGATCCGGAGTGATGGAAGTAAACTCCGAAAACCGAACAGGAACATCCGCGGAATGCACATTCTACGGGATGTCTGCTATCATTCTTCCGCTGGGGTGCATTTGCTTGCTTCGTTAGGGAAAGAGATGTCCATTTTGATACTGACTGCGTGCTCTTTGGAACTAATTGGTTCTGTTCCCATGGGACAACACATAGTGCAGAATCTAGCATACATGTATCAATCAGGTGAGGTCCTTACTGGTGGAAGCATGGGGCTGAGATCTTTTCTTTTGTGCAGCCAGTCCTCGCGCAATGGTCGGACCCGGCGATGGATACTCCAACTGACTCGAATTTATAACTGCTCGCCTTGGGTGAATACACTTCGATATCATGCGCGAACAAACACTGCAGTTGTTGTTTGGCCGCATGCCGCGTGCGTAGATCTATTTAACACTGCGCACAGTAAGCGGATTGCTCGATTGGCCGGTGCTCTACACGAACAACAAATTACAGACTCAATTTTCTTTCCAAGATCATATTATTTTATTACGAGCTGTCTTGGTGGACAAATCAAGATATGGTATCGGGATTTTGAGCGAGGTAGTACCGGGCGGAAGCTGGAGCATGCGAACAACGCAAACTTGTCGACTTACCATTTACACACCTTTCGCGGCCATCGCAGGGCGGTTATGAAGCTTGACCTTCATGCAAACCACACCGCACTGTTTTTATCTGTCTCACTTGATGGGTCACTGCGTGTTTGGAATGTGGAAACCTTAGAACTTGTACGGACGATTGAGACTTTAAGTGGATGCCCGTTGGTTGACCTCGTGGTTTTGAATCATGGCGAGACGATTGTCACCCTCACGGATGGTGGCACAATAATGGAATATATTTCAAAGTCGAACAGTAGCGAATTTGTCCTCACCATGGCGCCATACACCTGCGATGACGGTATTATAGAAAGCGAGAGTGCAGACGATGAAGTCCACTCACTTTGTGCTGGAATTGGAATCTCAGAGGGGTCACACGTAGACAATCGAGGAAGCTATGAGTTGGGTCCGACATCAGAAGGCGCACTTGAAGCTCTGACTTTTGATGCGAAGGACAGCGTTCTAGAGTGTCCAGCATTGCAAATGGCCTCAATTGATCGTTCTATGGTGTACACACTGCGGCGATTGTGGTTTAGATCGCAAACCGTTCCAGAAAAAACAGATGTGAGTACTACTTGTATTGCTGCGGTGTTTGTGCATGGAATATTTACTTATTGTTTGGAAAAGAGCCGAATCTGCAGAACCGACATTGACAAAGAGCAAACTCGCAGACAGTCGCAAAGTAGTGATTCGGAAAGCCTTCGCACAATACCCATCCATCGGCAGATTCAAGGACAAAGAATTGGGAAAAATGTCAACTCAAGCTCTCCGAAGCACAAGCGAGGTTTCACCCTAGTGCATGAGATAGCTACGATTGAACACCCCTCGCCAATTCCTTTTCGTCGTTTTTTTACCGCATCTACGTCTCGTGGGAGGCCGGTGCTCGCACCACACTTTTTCCTAGAGCAGGCGAGATGTAGGGAGAGAGTATGGGCGACGGCACCCATCTGTTAGCGGCATGCACGCTGATATCGCACGCGGCGCCGACGCTGCTCGCTGCGTGCCCGTGGTCATCTGTTTTAGCGCGGCCTCGGTTTCCGACTCGGGCATCCGATGCGGCGGTTCCAGGACTTGGAAGGGCCCCTAGGCGATGCGCGGTCCCGAAGTCCTGCGGCTACACGAGCCTCTCGCGGATCTGTGCGATTTCCGCAGGGGAAATCTGCCCGTCCTGCAGCCTGGACAGCAGGCCGTGCTCTCATGCTCTCCAAATAAACATCTCGCTTGTCGGACCCCGGTCACAGCGGTTCGCCGCCGCGGCAGGCACAAGGGCCCAGGAAGCCGTAGGCGGCACTAGGCTTGAGGTTGAAGACTAATTCCAAGCGGTATTTAACATATCCCGCTGGTGGGACATGTTGGGACTAGGTGGAGTATACCCAACTACACGGGGGCGCGTGGTGGCGAAGCACGACAAGTCCAGCCAGCTAAACGCCAAACAGCACCAGAGCGACCCCGAGGCGGCGTAGGCCGCGCCATTAGGGCCGTAGGGGCCGAGGGAGCCTAAAAGGAACGCAAAACGCCGGGGAACTTGGATGGCTCCTGTGGCACGGCCACGCACTCGGGCCACGGTGCGCAGCGCCCGGCGTTGTTGTCCGCGGAGTCGGGGTCGTATCTCTCTGTCGACCTCTCCCAGCATCGGAGATCTTATTTCATCCGTGAGATCACTCGTTGGAACAAAAAAAGTGACCCCGTGCCGAGTCCGTGCCGTCCGCGCCGTCCGCGCCGTCCGCGCCGTCCGCGCCGTCCGCTCCGTCCGAGCCGTCCGCGCCGCTTCGCGGAAGGGAGATTCGAAGCCGCGACCCCCCTCGCGTCCAGCGGGGCATCCAGCGGTTGGGAAGAACTTGTTTCGGGCCTCATCAGCCGTTCCCGTACATAAACGCCCTCCCTTTACACACCCAATCCGCAAAGTTTGCCTGCGATTCGACCATTCATCGACATGCCAGCAGGCGGTGTCCAGCGGAGGAAGCTGGGACGATCGTATGCCCCGAGACGCCCGCATTGCACGCCGAAAAAGGCGACTCTCCCATGCTGCGAAGCGCAGCCCGCGCTCCTCGTTATCTTAAAAAATCCTAGAAAATAGATACTTGGCCGGGGGTTTGGTAACCGTTCTTCGATTCGCAAATGGGGCGCCGCCCCATATAAAAAAAGTTTACGTTGCCGCGAAGCGGCTAGGAAGTTAGGATAGCTTATTAGCTTCCTAACGTCGCTATGACATCAGTAGAGAGAGATACCCCAAACTAGGGTACTAAGGAACGTTGATGTCAACGTTACGGGGAAGTGCAGTGTCATCTCCATAGTGTGACGTCGCGATAGTGAGGGAACAGGGTAATGTAAATTACGGGGATGATGGGGAATCACGAAGCTACTCAACTCAGATAGATCCCTTTTTCAAGTTCACTATACTGACTACGAGGAATTCCCTTTTTAGGTTCAGCCCAGGGAAGGGAGGGAGGATCTCAGTACTTTGGGATAGGAAAGGAAAGAGAAAGGGAGGAGAGCCTCCTCAGTGGGGAAGGTCAGTCAGGGTGGTAGTAGGCTCAGTAGGCTGAGCCTATGGTCCTATAAAGAGGGAAGTAGACCT